GTCTTACATGGCAGACAAAGAAATCACACGATACAGTAACGTTGTCTTACATGGCAGACAAAGAAATCACACGATACAGTAACGTTGTCTGACGTGGCAGACAAAGAAATCACACGATACAGTAACGTTGTCATACGTGGCAGACAAAGAAATCACACGATACAGTAACGTTGTCTTACATGGCAGACAAAGAAATCACACGATACAGTAACGTTGTCTGACGTGGCAGACAAAGAAATCACACGATATAGTAACGTTGTCTTACGTGGCAGACAAAGAAATCACACGATACAGTAACGTTGTCTTACGTGGCAGACAAAGAAATCACACGATACAGTAACGTTGTCTTACGTGCAGAGTGCATCGACAGGGGTGGACTGAATAAATGCGATGGCAGATTCCTCAGACTGAATATGTGGTCGTAATTTCATGTACAGGGGCATAATACAGCCATATAATTGTTGATGGCAATCTCGCTCCTCGTCTTGTGCAAAAGCAAGACCTGCAAGGCGAAAAAATAAATAGCGAGAAAAACAGGATTAGGAAAAATTATAATGATTATGGGTTTGGCATGCTAGATAGCAATGTTGGTTATGATTAGGCAAAAGAAAACCGACTAAAACTATTTCAAAGTTTTAATTTTACTCCTAGCTCAGTGAAAAATTATACTTTAAGTTAGGAGACAAACTAAATATGTAATAATGAGGTTTACAGGGGCTTTTGAGGCCCCCCTTTCAAAAGTCCTTAAGGGGGTAAATTGCAAACGACTGTGCATATTCATATGATAACAATCTGAAAGATTTATGGCAATCAATTTTTGAAAGAAATTTGTTTCCTAGGAATAGAGCAATATTTTGCCAAATGTCTTCATGATACATTGGTGCCCTGGAAAACCCCCCAGCGCTGACAGCTTTAGGTCGCCACTTACCTGCCATAAAGACAGCGACCACAATGACGTGCAATGTTCTCATCTTGTGGCGGTAGAGCTTGTTAACAGGTCAGAACTTCTAGGAAACGTGTTTGAAAAATTAAAAGAACATTATTTAAAATTCACACCTGTTTGTAGCATAACTGTTATATTTTCCCCTTTCTCTCTTCTGTTGTACAACACAACTCTAACACCTGCATTCGTGGTGTAAACGACGGGATCTTTTTGTTGTTGTTTCTTTTTTCTTTTGCTGTTTCACACAAAAGAGTTTAGTTGTCAAGAGAGGAACTATTTGTGCATTTAGCATTTCAGTCTTTGTGCTGGGATAGATTGTCTTTCTTAGCCAAAGATGGCCCGGGGGCTCTCGTGGCCTAGAGGTTAAGGTGTTGGTCTCTCATTCAAAGGTCAATGGTTCGAATCCGGGTAGCGACCGAAAACTTTTCTTCTCTAATTGTCTCCTTTCACCTCCTTTCCTGCTCTTTAGCAATGTTCTGTTGTCTGCTT